GGAGCGTCGGGAGAGGCACGTCAGGCGGGCACAGGAGACTGGGGGACAAGCTCAGCAACCGGCCCCCACTCCCTGGGCTGGCACTAGGGCGAAGCGGGGTCCCAGCATCCCTCCGTGCGGCTCTCTAGGACCTCGCCCACCCTGGGATTCCCCCTCCACACCCTGGTAACCCCAGGAATGGGGCTGGCCCCCAGCAGCGTGTCAAACTGCCCCCCTCCCCCGACGATGCTGCCCTGCGCGCCACCATCTCAGCTCTCACTGGCCCCCACTCCCTGGGCTGGCACTAGGGCGAAGCGGGGTCCCAGCATCCCTCCGTGCGGCTCTCTAGGACCTCGCCCACCCTGGGATTCCCCCTCCACACCCTGGTAACCCCAGGAATGGGGCTGGCCCCCAGCAGCGTGTCAAACTGCCCCCCTCCCCCGACGATGCTGCCCTGCGCGCCACCATCTCAGCTCTCACTCAACAGCCAGGGCTCCAGCAAAGGAAAGCTTGAAAGCCTGGAACGAACGGGATGCAAGGGGGCCAGCCTGCCTGACCCAGCAGACAGCTGGAAAGACGACCTCAGAGGGGGAGAACTGCCCTGTGCTTCGAGAAGGGGTGTTGACTCTGAAACCTAATGAGGGCACCTCTGGGCTCAGCCCTCATCACCTTCTCACCGCTGATTAAAACAGCAGACCAAGGAGGGTGGCGGTGAGGTGAGCGGAAGCCTCATTTTGTTGCTGTGTGGGGGGATGGCACACACTGGTGGGGAAGGAGACACAGTCAGCGGCTGGCCATGGCACAGGGACGGGGGATGCAGGAGGAGGGGCTGGTGACTGGGATGGGCAGGTGTCATGCCCACCGGCCTTGGGCAGGTCAGCTGAGCCCCTCTTGCAAAGGGGACCAGCCCCCAGAAGCACCGAGGGACCCAGGCAGAGCTAGCGACAGAACCCAGGAGTCCTGGCGCCCAGCCCCCACCTCTCCAGCACCAGGGCCATGTTCACGTACGTCTCCACGCCAGTCTCAGACCCTGAATCCTCTAGAGAGCCCCCCCTCCACCCACTAGAGCTCCCACCACCTGGCGGG